GATTTTCTAAATTCCAGAAAATAAAATATTTTATATTTACCGTATTTATATATATTTAAATTCGAAAAAGGGCTTTTATTTCGAATTAAATATATATATGTTTTCTAAATTAGCAAATAATTATTGGAGACTCCCAGTAAACTTTATTAATCTGGAAATCCTAAAATTCCAGAATGAATAAAATTTAAAATTTTGAAAACCATTTTTCAAAGCTAGAAAACCGAAATTATATTGTGAAAATATATTTCGAAATTCCAAAAATATCAAAATTTATTTTCCAAGTCAAAAATAAGTTCCAGAACCAGAATATGATTTTTCTAGAATTTAAAATATTAATTTTGAAATTTAAAATAATTAAAAATCGGACTAGTGAATAGTACCGATCCAATTACTTCAAAAATACAAAATAAATATTTTTACGTGTTTAAAAATTTTGAAAATTTTTATACAAGCTTAAAATCTCTGGTCGCAACTTACTATGAATTAAAATTAATTTTTCATCGTCAAAAATAAGTTTTCCTATTTTCTATTCAATAAACGAATTTAAAAATAGAAAAATAGGAAACTAATTGCAAAAATATATTTTAAAATTTCTGAGTTATATTGACATGTCAAATATTTCTCAGAAAATATATAATCTAATTTTCATAAATATTAAGTATTTATGGCACAAATAACAAGTATTCTACACATAAACTACTTAATAAGAATAATATAAAAATACCCCAAACAGTAATTCCAAAAATTACTGAACAAAAATTATATTAGGTCCAGTATCTAAATATGGCCAGATGGGGCGAGATTGTCAGGATGGATGTGACAAGTTTTGAAATTATTTATGATATGTCAATATTAAATTCGCTTCCGCAATATTGTTAAATACTCCGTACTGTATATATTATGAAAAATATTATTGAGATTAATAAAGTGTGTTTGAAAAGTTTTAAATTTTACGATTACCAAGTTATATACTTTAGTCCGAATGGGGCTGCAGACCTGGACGGATTAGGGTGTTACACATAAGGGTTTGATTCTTTAAAGTGTAAAATGGTTTGGATATTCGAGTTTGGTGTTGTTTGGTGTGGTTTGGTTGTTTGGGTGTCCACACAAACACCACGTTGGCGTTGTTATGTTTTGTGTTGTGATTAGGCATTGTATCCTTGCTTACGAGTATTTGTTTTTGGTTTTTTTTAAAGGGGTGAAAAAAAGTTCCAAGCGCAGCAAGAAAACTGTTGTAATGGCTTCACCGATTCGAAGAAGCGGTAGATTGCAGCTTGCAGAGATTAAGAAAAGGCCAAAAGTACACGCAGCGCATGTCGACTTGGGCGAGGATGACGAAGATTCTGTGGAAGATGGTGGTGCAAATGGGAATGAGAATGCTGGTTCAGATTGTTGGGAAACGAGGCTTGGATAACGCAACGTGATAGTGTAAATTATCGACCGGTATACCGGTTTAGCCCGGCTAAAACGATAAACTAGTCTAAAAATACACCAAAATATAAACACGGGGATTTTGACGTGGAAACCCAAATCGGGAGAAAACCACGGGGGATTTTTATTAATATCGGGGGATTGTACATGGTACATGAATTGGGCTCGGAAGCCATTAATGGAAGCTTGAAGCTTCTTTAAAGAATGAAAATGCACAATAATCTAGAGAGAGAAACGAAGTGGGCAGGGGAGAGTGTAAAAATTGGCCTCCCCCAACAATTAGGGCAACCCTCCCTTTTATAGGAGAGGGTGAGAGCATCTACGGAGAAATATTCTCTTATTCCTCTATTTTATTAAACAGGTCCGGTTTAACTATTCTTTGTAAATAATTGGGAAATGTGGGCCGAGCCACGTATTATTTCCCATCAAGAAGTCCTCCACTTTTTTGAGTTGTGAGAATCATCAACTTAAAAAAGTAAACAAGTCCTCCGAGTGTGATCTTCAGTCTTCGTACTTTGAATTCTTGACCGGTAGATATTATTTCTAGTCCTCCGAGTCTTCATTAATTCTCTAATTTCTTGAATCAGAAGTTTTTTCCTGCAAAAAATAATTTGTACAACATTTTTTTTTGACCGGCCTATGCCGTGCTCAAAAAATTATTAATTTTACCGAGGAGCTCAGTTTTAGATGATTAAGATTCGCGCGAATAATTATCGTAACGAGAGCGATGTCAATTCGATAAAGCAACGATGCTTCGAAAAGTTATTTCGTCGAGGTCGGTGTTAATACGAGTCAAGCAAACGATGCGTGACGAAATTAGTATACAGACGACATCGACGTTAGTTAATAAGAATTGAATCCGATGCAGTAGCTTTGTTGAAGATCAGTGTTAGCCCGGCTGACTGATGTAAATATCTTCATGTCTCGCGGAGACCATCTTCGATCGAGGTGCCTCAAATAGAGGGCTTAAATGAATCGGGCGTCCCCGATATGAGCTTTGCTCACTTTTTTGCTGAAACCGATGTGCAATCGGTGTACCCAATTCGATTGGGCTCAGGCTTATTGGAAAATATGTGTAAGACTGGTGAGAGACCAGTGTACCAGTTCGACTGGGTCACATATTTTTCTTTATTATACTGAGCAAGACCGGTGTAGTAACCAGCGTGCCAGGTCCGGGCCTGTGTCCCAGTCTTCCTTTGATCAATCTCCAACTCACTATCTCCGATCAAGCAATAACCATGAGTTTGAGGACAAAAACATCTTTATTGAGTGACCCATCTTCTCAAAAAGAATTGTCGAAGTCCCATGTTTAACGGTGCACCTACCGAGCTCAATTTCTGCGTCACTAATTTTTGACTCCAGCCATAATCCCATGTGATTGTGCATATCTTCTATATTTGCTTGAATAGTTGTCACCCCTTTGTTTTTGTTAGAATAATCTAATTGAGATGACCACTGGTACGGCCACTTGGAGTCTTATGTGTGGCTCTTTCTTTTAACTTGCAATCTTTATCCCAAAATAAGTTACTGATAGTGGGGGACAATCAGCCCCATTTTTTTCTCTGCATGGCCCACCAACATGTGCCTTCCCTGTAGTGTATTTTGTGAGTGGAGTAAGTAGACCTACATCATTGGCATAGCAGTCCTCCATGTGCTGGACTGTCCATTTTTTGACTTCTTGTTTTGAGACTTATTTCATATTGAAATCATGTTGGTTGGTGCAGGCTGCTTGGAAAGATCCCAACGGAAAAATAAGTTATTTTTGAAGCACCATGGTTTGATCGTCCTTCCAGATCCGACCCAAAACGATGCTGCTCGGCAGGCCTGTATTGAGAACTTGGAGTCGTTGGAGCACTTGATGTCGATACTCATAGCTCCGCCACTATCGGAACTAGGGGCAGCGGTCAAGCTATCATCGTTTTTCGGATTGTCCCCGTCACTTTTCACCGCAACATCAGCGTCGCCTCAGCCACTCAGACTCTTGGACTCCACCAAGGTGTGCCTTTAGCAACAATTTCAGCCAATCGAGGATGCGAAATGACGCTTATCCGCTGCTCTACAACCGGCGCACCATGGTTCTGATCTAGAGCTGGCGCTAATGACTTCCCCTAAGGTGATGAATCTCTTCCGACCGCAAAGCTGGTGGACTCCAATCACGGATTCCGGTAGATTTTTAAGAACGATAGCTACGGATATTAGCCCGTAGTAGCGTGGCGGGGATGACGACAGATCTCTGTAGCAGCGTCGGTGATTTACTTCGTCGGCGGCGATGATTGGCTTCTATCGGGGTTTGATTTTTTCCGGCATGGTGGCCCACGGCTTTGGCCGCGGAAGGACCAAAAAACAGCCATCTGGCGACGGATGCGCACAAGTGTCGGCAGTGGCGGGGATGACAATAAATCTTTGTAGCGGCGTCGGCGGGTCTGAGCATCGGCGGCGGCAGCAGGTTTGAGCATCAGCGGCGGCGGCTCTGAGCAGCGGCGGCGTTAGGTTTGAGCAGCAGCGGCGGCGACAGCTCTAACAGCGGCGGCGGAAGGTTTGAGCATCGGCGGCGGTGGTGGATCTAAGCAGTGGTGGCGGCGGATGGTTTAAGTAGCGGCGGCAGAGGCTGGTTTGAGCAGCGGAGGCGGCGGCTCTGAGCAGCAGCGATGGCGGACTCCGGTAGCTTAGGGAAAGGCGAGTACCAACAGATGGCGGACTCTGGTAGGTGGCAGAGGCGGCTCTGAGCTTGATCTAGGGGCTGCTCCAATTTGGGGTCCTCCTTTCTTTCTCCTTTTTTGTCAAATCAAAAAATCAAAAACCCCCCTCTCTCACTCTTGAATCACCCACTTTTTTTATTTCAACCCCTTTTCTTTGGGTTTTTTTTATGAGCGGGAGAATAAACATGAAAATTCATGGCCTTTTGCTCGGGTCCCACGGGTGGCGCCAAAATGATGGTGTAAATTATCGACCGGTATACCGTTTTAGCCCGGCTAAAACGATAAACTAGTCTAAAAATACACCAAAATATAAACACAGGGATTTTTACGTGGAAACCCAAATCGGGAGAAAACCACGGGCCTTTATTGGCGATACCTTGCCAACGGGGGATTTTTATTAATATCGGGGGATTGTACATGGTACATAAATTGGGCTCGGAAGCCATTAATGGAAGCTTGAAGCTTCTTTAAAGAATGAAAATGCACAATAATCTAGAGAGAGAAACGAAGTGGGCAGGGGAGAGTGTAAAAATTGCCCCCCCCCAACAATTAAGGCAACCCTCCCTTTTATAGGAGAGGGTGAGAGCATCTACGGAGGAATATTCTCTTATTCCTCTATTTTATTAAACAGGTCCGGTTTAAGTATTCTTTGTAAATAACTGGGAAATGTGGGCCAAGCCACGTATTATTTCCCATCACAGCGCATAACAAAAATTTATAGTCCAAAACTCGATTCCACCCAAGAACAACTTACGTAAATTACTAGCTATAGTAAGAAATTTACCTTAACGGTGAAAACGAAGAACGGAGGAACGGTCGGGGATGGTTTTGAGGAGATGAACGTAGCGCCAAACGTATGAAGCCTCCAACGTATCCACACGAACTTGCTCCGTAGTCCAAAATTAAACTTGTGCTAGCAAGTTTAATATAGGATAGTAAAAACTATAATAATACTACTTTGGGAGTAATAAATATATAGTAAAATATTTATCTTATAAATATTTTTATAATATTTTGTGTATATTTCTAACACTTTAGAAAAATAACTTGTAACACAAAATAATAATTTTTCTCCTCTCTCTCTCTATATGGCCGAAAATCACACACATAAAAATGGGGAGGGATACTCACACTATATAATACAATGTATTAAGAAAATGCTAGGAAATTGCTTAGGGACAAAAACAAATTAGGCTTAATTCATTGTTCCCAACCAACACAACAAGACAAGTATAATTTTGTTAATTAAATATTTGATTATATCAATCAAATATATCATTAGGTAGAAAATCAATTTATGTCTTGTATTTTTCCCTTTGATATTTTCGGCCATAACATGTTAAAATACATTACATTTTATTTTTACATCAATAATTATCATATAATTAAAATGATGAAAATAAAAGTTATAAATATATATATATATATATATATATATATATATATATATATATATATATATATATATATATATATACTGATGGTGGTATATGGTTTGTTCGTCTTTTCGTGTTGTTAGTCATGTCAGTTTTGGTTGATAGCCCGAGCCATGGGTATGTAAACAATTGGTTTTTGAAAAGCTTGGAGGATGTGGATGGGATTGCACAGTTAAACTGGTGTGAATATGTGCACCGAGCATTGATTGACAGTAAAGTGAAGTGGGAGAAGGGGAATAGAAAATACTATACTGGACCTCTATTGTGCTTGATGGTAAGAGTTTTGTTTTCTGACAACTCTAATTTACTTCATTATAATGTAGTTGTTTTTTTAATGTAGTCTTTGTTATCTATTTTTTAAGGTCTTCTACATAGACCGAGTGGTGCTCTATAGTAGAGACGTAGAGAGAATGTTGCCTGCATTTCTGGGATGGACATCTAAGATCCTAAGGGATAGGGAAAAAAAGGAGGTCAGAGCAGGTGGATTCGGGTTGGGGTATGATGATGGTAGATTTGTTGGTGAGGTGATGGATGTGAGCTCTGGTGACACAGTTGTTGGTGCGTGTTTAGAACGGGTTAATGTCGAAACTGGTAATGGTGATGCGGCAGAACCAATGGGAGAGCCGAGGGATGATCCGGTTGAGGTAAGTGCAGGGGGGATTAGTTGGCAAACCGTGAACTGAATTTTTTTTTGGGTTGAAATTTAATTCTTTTTATATTATGACACCCTTATGCATCAAGTTTTTGTTCAAAAGTTTGCAGAAAAGGGGAAAGTACTGGCTACCACAATCATCGACCTAGTGTCGTTGATTGAGAGTGCACCACCTGGTACCATGGAGAATGATGTGTTCAAGCAGCTACAGCTTGCAGCGGGTAGATTATTGGGTCTGGCACAACGTAGAGGCGGTGGAAGCTTAGAAACACCTGATGGAGGTTTTTCTGAGGTGACTTATGATGAAGGTTTCTGGAGCGACCCTGCAAACATAGAACAGTTGATGGCGAATGAGCAGGCAGTGCTGGCACGTTCAAAATACAAGAAGATCATGGAGGATATGCCATCGTTCAGTCTGGGGTTCTCGCAATTGGATGTAGAGAATGAGAATGTGAATACTGATGGTGGTGATATCGGTGCTTGCAAAAATACTCCTAGCACTCCAGCAGTTCGGTTTGGTCTTCGTGTGCCATGAGACAGAGGTTGGCAGTTTCATCCTCGTCTTGGTCAGTTGACTCGTCGCCGGAGTCGCCACCCCAAGAGATATATGCCCTTTGCCTTTTGAAGTGCTGAGCATTCCTTCTGCTTTTCGGGCATTTGTTCTTGATGTGCCCGGCTTCACCACATCCATAGCACATAGGGTCATCCTCAACCTTTTCTTTATTCCTTAGAAGTTTACAAAACTTCTTCATGACAAGCTTGACTTCATCATCGTCGCTTGAATCATCCATCGTTGGTTCTTTGACGACTTTTAATGCTATCCCTTTCCTTTGGTCATTCAAAGACGGGTTAAGAATAGTAGATTCATAGGTTTTTAGATTACCTCTTAGACCGTCGATAGTGACATTTGATGTGCCGATTGATTCATAGATGGCATCGGCCTTGGATCGCCATTCGGATGTGAAGCTTCGTAGGATCTTTCGCACAAGATCCCTGTCGGTGTATGCCTTCTTTAATGTATGGAGACCGTTGACTATCTTGGAAAAACGGTCGAACATATCATCGATCTTCTCGTGCTCCTTCATCCTGAACATCTCATATTCTTGGGTGAGGAAGTCAATCTTGGCTTCACGTACTTGGTCCGTTCCTTCGTACGTCACCTCAAGTTTATCCCACATCTCTTTGGCGGTTGAGCAGCAAGAGATCTTGCGGTAGTCATCAAGATTTACGGCACAATAAAGCATGTTTATTGCTTTTGCATAATTCTCGACCTTTTTGATGTCCTCGGCATCAAACTCGTCTTCGGTCTTAGGGATCAACTTGTCTCCGACTTTCTTCATCGGCACCTCTTCCCCGTTTTTGATAACCAACCATAATTTGAAGTTCGTGGAACGAATATAGATTCTCATTCGTTCTTTCCAATATGTATAATTGGTTCCATCGAAAAGAGGTGGCCGTGTAGTTGATTGACCTTCTCCAATCCCTGCATAAAGATTTCTAGAAGAAGAACCCATGATCGCTTTACTCTCAAACGGTTAAGTTTGGACGCGAGTTAGGCTCTGATACCAATTGTTAGAATAAGTGACCAACGCTAGAGGGGGGGTGAATAGCGTTTGATCGTAGAAATCGCAGGAA